GTTTTAAAGATAACTAGAACAATGAAATGGCTTACGTAAATTCTCAAATTTCCCAAAGGTACAATATTTCTTTAATCGAAAAACATCCATCACGAAATCTACAATCTTTCGATGAGTTTACACGTCATTGTTGCTTATGTAACGGGTGAACAAAATCCAAAAGTAAAAACTGTGTTTACTTCCAGATAAAAAACTACCCCCCCCATCCGCCCTCTCGTTTCTAAGAGTATCTCATCTGCCAAAATCTCTCTTATCTTAGCAGGTACTAACCCCGCCCACCCACCCTCTCTTTTCTTAGAAATTATGTAATTTGCCAAAATCCACAGGTTTAATCAGGCGAAAAAAAAAACCGAATTCTTATAACTTTAGGTGTGATTTTGCGTTCGAAAATTTGACAGGAGTTAGTATGGTTTCAGGGCCGGTCCGCCCAAAGGCTGCTTAGATCAGTTTTTTGATAACCAGTTAACAATAATTTAACAAATAACTACATATATTCCATTTGTTTTACAAAAACCTGTTTAAAATGTGATCAAAGAAACTGAATATTTAAATTTTTGAAATTATCTTTTCCAATTTTCTTAGAGTTTTAAAGATAACTAGAAGAATGAAATGGCTTATGTAAATTCTCAAATTTCCCAAAGGTACAGTATTTCTTTAATCAAAAAAAATCCGTCACGAAATATACAATCTTTTAATTAATTTAAATGTCATTATTGCTTATATAACGGCTGTAAAAAATCGAAAATTTGTGGGTGGGTGGGGCTAGCAGCTGCTAAGATATGAGTAATTTTGGCAAATGAGATAACCTCTGACAAAATAGGGGGCGGGTGGGCGGGCCTAGTACTTGCTAAGAAAAGACTTATTTTGGCAAATGACATACTGTCTAAGAGAAGAGAGGGTGGGTGGGTGGGACTAACAGCTGCTAAGGTATGAGTGATTTTGGCAAATGAGATACCCTCCAAAAAGGAGCGGGCGGGTGGGCGGGGCTAGTACTTGCTAAGATAAAACTGATTTTGGCAAATGTGACACCCTGTAAGAAAAGAGAGGGCGGGCGGGTGGGGTTAGTAGCTGCTAAGATAGGACTGATTTTGGCAAATGAGACCCTTCTACAACAGTAGCGGGTGGGTGGGCGGGGCTAGTTCTTGCCAAGAAAAGATTGATTTTAGCAAATGACGTAACCTCTACCAAATTTAATTAAATTATCATAAGAAAAGACACCTAGAGCGTCGAAAGCACTTTTAAATCTTTTCCAAACAGGAATATGTACTTTCAAAATTATTTTAAAATTTTCAAAAAAAAAACCGGGGTCCCAAAAATTACTCAAAAAGAGGTCAGGTCAGAATCTTCCAAAAATAGAGCACCAAAGTTCCCAAAAATTATTTTAAATAATTTACAAAAAAAAACTAAAACACTAAAAGCTCGTGATGGATGTTTTTCGATTAAAGAAATATTTTACCTTTGGGAAATTTGAGAATTTACGTAAGCCATTTCATTCTTCCAGTTATCTTTAAAACGCTTTAAGAAAATTCGAAAAGGTAATTTCAGTGATTACACTTGTAGATATATCAGGGGAGCTTTTAGTGTTTGAGTACCCATGGTGCATTATTTTGGAAGACTTTGGTATTCCATTTTTGGAAAATCTTGACCGGACTTGTTTATGAGTTAATTTTGGCCCCCAGTTTTTTGTTGAAAAATTGATTTTTTTTTTAAATCTTCTTATCTTTTAAATCAGTCTTATCATAGCAGGCACTAGCCCCGCCCACCCACCCTCTCTTTTCTTCGGGTGTATGTCATCTGCCAAAATCAGTTCTATCTTGGCAAGTACTGATGACTAACTTTTATAAAAAAATGATCAAAATATGGAAATATTGGTTACACTTTAATGGATTTTTCTTTTGTTGTTTTTGTTTATAATTTATTAAGGATCTAATGTCTTATTAAATGTTTTTTTTTTGGCTTATTTATTAATGAAAAATAACAGCTTGTTTTATTCTATAATAATGCACGACGATTAATAACTATTGGTTGTACGGTTATTGTCCTACAATCTACACCATAAAGAACGCACTGAAGACTTAATCCGCCATTTTCCAGACACCCGGTATATCTATAAGAGTAAAATCTGTTTATTTTCCGAATAAAAAAAAATACACACTTCCATAATAGGTTACGTGGAAAAAATCGACTTTTTATTGATTCAGTTGTAATCACTGAAATTACCTTTTCCAATTTTCTCAGAGTTTTAAAGATAACTAGAAGAATGAAATGGCTTACGTAAATTCTCAAATTTCCCAAAGGTACAATATTTCTTTAATCGAAAAACATCCATCACGAAATCTACAATCTTTAGACGAGTTTACACGCCATTGTTGCTTATGTAATGGGTGCACAAAATCCAAAAGTAAAAACTGTGTTTAATTCCAGATAAAAAACTAGCCCCGCCCACCCGCCCCCTCGTTTCTAAGAGTATCTCATCTGCCAAAATCTCTCTTATCTTATCAGGTATTAACCCCGCCCACCCACCCTCTCTTTTCTTAGGGGGTATGTCATCTGCCAAAACCAGTTTTATCTTGTTAAGTACTGATGACAAATTTTTATAAAAAATGAATCAAAATATGGAAATATTACGAGCTTACTTACTGAACATCTCTAGTATTTAGTTGGTTATGCTTTAATGGATTTTTCTTTCGTTGTTTTTGTTTATAATTTATAAATTTCTTATTAAATGTTTTTTTTTTTTGGTTTATTTATTAATGAAAAATAACAACTTGTTTTATTAATCATAATACACAACGATTAATGACTACTGGTTGTATGGTTATTGTGTTAAAAAAATAAATAAATAAAAGGTGGATTTCAGTCACCATCGTTACTAAGAAATCAGAAAGTAAACCGGCGGTATTCACGCATTAGGTGCGAGCAGTGTTGCCAATTTTACTTTTGTAAAATTACGTTTTTTTTTCTGTAATCTACACCATAAAGAATTTTTTTGTTATTTTTTTGGGACTCCCGAAACCACCGTACATCACGCACTGAAGAGTTAATCCGCCATTTTCCAGACACCCGGTATATCTACAAGAGCAAAATTTGATTATTTTCTGAATAAAAAAAATTACACACTTCCATAATGGGTTACGTGGAAAAAAACGACTTTTTATTGATTTAGTTCTAATCACTCCAATTACCTTTTCCAATTTTCTCAAAGAGTTTTAAAGATAACTAGAAGAATGAAATGGCTTACGTAAATTCTCAAATTTCCCAAAGGTACAATATTTCTTTAATCGAAAAACATCCATCACGAAATCTACAATCTTTAGACGAGTTTACACGGCATTGTTGCTTATGTAACGGGTGCACAAAATGCAAAAGTAAAAACTGTGTTTAATTCCAGATAAAAAACTACCCCCGCCCACCCGCCCTCTCGTTTCTAAGAGTATCTCATCTGCCAAAATCTCTCTTATCTTATCAGGTATTAACCCCGCCCACCCACCCTTTCTTTTCTTAGAAAGTATGTAATTTGCCAAAATCCACATATTTCCATGTTCTTAAGAGTTATAAAAATAACTCAAGGTTTACGTAAGTTCTTGAATTCCCCAATAACACAAAAATTTTGTAAAAAAAACAGCATGCTCACGAGCCCAAAAATTTTTTGATGAAATTAAAACGTCGTTCTATTTTTCTACGGACTTGAAAACTTCTCACTAAAAAATGATCTAGAGCCTACACTATATATCTACAAAAGCAAACCCTGTTTTATTCTGAAAAAAAAAAAAAATCGCCAATTTCCAGAGTTTACAACGTGAAAAAAGCGTCTTTTTATCGATTTAGTCGTAATCAATGAAATTACTTTTTTCAATTTTGTTAAGAGTTTTAGGATAACTAAAATAATGAAACGGCTTACGTAAACTCTCGAATTTCCCAAAGGTACAATATTTCTTTAAACGAAAAATCAACAATCTTTCAATGAATTTAAATGTCATTGTTGCTTAGTAAAGGATGCTCAAAATACAAAAAACAAATTTTTACCAATTTATAGATAATAACTAAATTTATATTTTTACAAAAACCTGTTTAACTAAACATCATTATGTTTTTGTACATTTTCTGCCGCAATAGTGAACCAGAGGCCGCACTATATAACGTACTTTCAAAATCCGAAAGCAAAATGTGCATATTTTCGTAAAAAAAAAAGATCAAACATTTTATTACTTTATTTTGTTCCCAAAACAGGCCACACCAAGCATTAGTAACGCTTTCGACCAACAACAAAATTCCCTACAACCTACAAAACGCAAACATCGCAATCTAAAATCAACAATGACAACCTGCGGTTTCCTTAAAACCAAACGTCACGTCGCCAGTCCAGGATGCCGATAATTATTTATTTATAATACGAACAAGCAAGCAACAACTTCCCGGTTCCTAGTGGCCTAGTCACCGCTTACACCGAATAGACAGCTCGCCGAACCCCGAAACCTCCTCCAAATCCCCCCCATCCCATTCCTAATTTAACTCAGGTATACACATCTCCACGTCTGGCGTCTGCCGGAAATCGAAGCCCCATTCACCCATACAGCGGCGTGTCTTCGCCGAACAATCGTATCAAGTTGGCAACCCTTCCCCCCAAATCCCACCTTGATCCTCTGCGCCCGGCGGCGACGCAGGGCGGGGTAGCGGATCAATACAACATGGCTGTCTGATAGACACCGCACGTGCGTGAATGCCTCCTGCGTGACCGGCTGCGTGCGAATAGCGCACGCAAAATGCAACGGGAGGTGCAGTCGCGGGGGCCTTGACCCCCGCCCCCGGTCGCCGATTTCGCGATTTTTCGATGCCGGCTCCGCAAGGGCTCCGCGGTCCGGCGCTATTTCCGATTTTCGCGGGTGACTCGGCGCGGGCCTTGACCCCGTCTGCCGGGTTTAATTGGGTTATGCAAGTTTGGCGTAACGCCTGTGGGAGTGAGGTTATGGCCGGAATAGGCGGGTTCGGGCGATACTTACTCTGATGGCATTTTTGAGTGTCTCGGCTTCTTGTCTCAAAGAATCCAATTCGTTCATACTGCCCAACACTCTCTATGGCACAACGAACGCCTGAAAAACAACAAACTGTGAGATAATGAACGGAGAGGAATTATTTTGTTTATCAGTAATAATGCGTTATCGAAGGGGATTTTTTTTAAATGAGGAAAGGGCCCCTTTCTTTGACGGGAAGGTTTGAAATTGTCCGTAATACCTGGCTCAATTGGGTTAATATTAAGTCCGCTACGTGGACGAGAGCAACACTCCGAATTCTACGACTTTTTATGATGCAAGGAAATTATCTATAAGTAGGCGACTGTTTCAAGATAACATAAAGTTTGCTATCTATTAGAAATGATAACGCGTTTCTGCAAACAATATATCAATATACAGAGGCTACTACGTGAAATAAAACAGTTATACTACACTAAAACGGGGTTTTTCGACTCAATTGTACCACTATTACTATTTTTTACTTAACTCATAATCATAGGATTTTTGTATAATTTTTTTCGTAGACAAGAAACAAGGTTGTTCATGTTGTAGTTTTGTAAAAAACGCCCCTTGAATTGAAGAATATTATTTCATACTGAGATTTCTGAAACGTAGGGCAAATTTGAACCTTTATTTTCTACTAATTAAATGTCACCAAAAAGTTATTGTTCTAGCGCATAAATGAAAATCCCATTCTTATTTATAATGAATTTTCCTCGCCTTTCAAGCGCAACGAACACCGCATGGATAGTGACGACTCTACGGTTACATAAAAAACAATTATTTTTCAATTATTTATTTTTCGTTTTTTTTTTTGTGATGACGTTAATTTACTGGAACGTTTTAACAAAATAAAGGCAGACGGAGACAGATACACATAGAGGGCGAGAGAAAAAAACGGGGACAAGAGGGAAAGTAAAACAAAACAAGGGAGAATGGGAGGAAGTACAAGTGGATAATCGAGAAAGCAAAAAGAAAGGGACATCACGATTTTCTTAAATCACAAGTAAAATTTGACAACAATCGGTCCAATAGTTTTGGAAATTATCTATCTAATAAAAATCGACCCAGACAGTCGGCAGACTACAGACAGACAAAACGACAGATGGAAACGTGTTATGCCTCTTACATTAGTATAACAGATTGTTATAAAATTTTAATTTTTTTTGCGAAAATCTGGATAAACAGGGTAACATATCAAGACGGATTCATAAGCTACAAATACGGTATTTATAGCATTTAAAAGAGCTAGAGAAAAGACAGAACGAGCGAGAAAAGAAAGAGAAAACGAGCCAGGAATAGAAAAACTAGCTAACAAAGAGAATACACGAGCTAGAAAAATATAGGAAACAAGCGAGAGAAAAAAGGAAAATGGGCGATAGACAAAAAGAGTGAAAACTGGTGGGAGAAAGAAAAAACGAGCCAGACAAAAAAAAAACAGAAAAGAGAGAAAGACAACCATCTAGAGCAAGATAGAAAACGAACGAGAAAACTTGAGAAAACGGGCGACAGAGAGAGTAAATGGGAGAAAGAGAGTATGAGAACTAGCGACACTGATGGGGAAAGTGGAAGAATAGAGGCAGAGGGGGAGGAGAGGAGAGCGAAAAGTACGAGAAAACGAGTGAGAGAACGAGAAAAAGCTGGTACCCAAAAAACAAAGAAAATGAGTCAGAAAAAGAGAGAACACGAGCTAGAGAAAAAAAGAGACAACGAACGAAAGAATGAAATGAAGAGAGAACGGGAATGAGGAAAAAACCGAAGAGAAAACGAACCAGAGAAATAGAAAACGAGCCAGAGAAGGAGAAAACGGGCCAGAGAAAGAGAGAAAAAAGGCAGAGAAAGAGAGAAAACAAGCCAGCGAAAGAGAAAAAAAAGAGCCAGAGAAAGAGAGAAAATGATGCAAAAAAAGAGAAAATTGGCGAGAGAAAGAACAAGAGAGGGAGAGAGAGAACGAAAACGGGAGAGAGAGAGAGAATGAAATAAAGCGAGCGCGGGAATGAGAAAAAATGACGAAAGAGTAAAAACAGTGGGAGAAAGAATGGGCCAGAGAACGAGAAAAGACGAGCCAGAGAAGGAGAGAAAACGAGCTAAAGATAGAGTGATAACCAGTAACAGAAAGAGAAAAAACAAGCGGTAGCAAAAGAGAAAACGAAATAGAGAAATACTGAAAACGAGCGTCCGAGAGAGAAAGAAAGAGGGAGAATGAGAACTAACGACATTGATGGAGAAAGTGGAAAAAAATTAAAGCGCGAGGGTGAGACAACGAGGAGAAAGAGAGAAAAAACGGGTGAAAGAAAGAGTGAAAACCAGTGGGGGGAAGAGAGAACGGGCCAGAGAAAGAGAGAAAACAAGTCAAAGAAAGGAAACGAGCCAGAGAACGAGAGAACACAAGCCAGAGAAACAGAAAAAAAGAGCGAGAGAAAAAGATAAAACGAGTCAGAGAAATAGAAAGAGTGTCCGAGAAAGAGAAAAAACGAACCAGAGAAATAGAAAACGAGGCAGTGACGGAGGGAAAACGGGCCAGAGAAAGAGAGAAAACAAGAGCCAGAGAAAGAGAAAAAAAGAGCCAAAGAGAGAAAAAGAGCAAGAAAAAGGGACAAAACAACCTAGATAAAGAGAGAAAACAAGCGCGCGAAAGAGAGATAGGTAAGAGAACGAGAGAAAACGAGCCAGAGGAAGAGAGAAAACGAGCCAAAGATAAAGTGAAAACCAGTAACAGAAAGAAGAAGAATAAGCGGGAGGAAAAGAGGAAACGAGATAGAGAAATACTGAAAACGAGCTTGCGAGAGAGAAAAAAAGAGGGAGAATGAGAACTAAGGACACTGATAGGGAAAGTGGAAAAAAATTAAAACGCGAGGGGGAGACAACGAGGAGAAAGAGAGAAAACGGGTGAAAGAAAGAGTGAAAACCAGTGGGGGGAAGAGACAACGGGCCAGAGAAAGAGAAAACAAGTCAGAGAAAAATAGGAAACGAGCCAGAGAACGAGAGAACACAAGCCAGAGAAAGAGAGAACACAATCCAGAGAAAGAGAGAACACAAGCCAGAGAAAGAGAAAACAAAGAGCCAGAGAAAAAGAGAAACCGAGTAAGAAAAATAGAAAAAGAGCCCGAGAAAGAGAAAAAACGAACCAGAGAAATACAAAACGAGGCAAAGAAGGAGAGAAAACGGGCCAGAGAAAGAGAGAAAACAAGAGCCAGAGAAAGAGAAAAAAAGAGCCAAAGAGAGAAAAAGAGCAAGAAAAAGGGAGAAAACAACCTAGATAAAGAGAGAAAACAAGCCCGCGAAAGAGAGAAAATAATCCGAGAAAGAGATAACAGGCGAGAGAGAGAAAACGAGAGGGGAAGAATGCGATAAAGCGAGCGCGGGAATGAGATAAAACGATGAAAGACCAAAAACAGTGGGAGAAAGAGAGATGGGTAAGAGAACGAGAGAAAACGAGCCAGAGGAAGAGAGAAAACGAGCAAAAGATAGAGTGAAAACCAGTTACAGAAAGAGGAAGAACAAGCAGGAGGAAAAGAGAAAACGAGATAGAGAAATACTGAAAACGAACTTGCGAGAGAAAGAGAGAGAATGAGAACTAGCGACACTGATGGGGAAAGTGGAAGAATAGAGGCCGAGGGGGGAGGAGAGGAGAGCGAAAGGTACGAGAAAACGAGTGAGAAAAAGAGAGATAACGAACGAAAGAATGAGATAAAGAGAGCGGGAATGAGGAAAAAACCGAAGAGAAAACGAACCAGAGAAATAGAAAACGAGCCAGAGAAGGAGAAAACGGGCCAGAGAAAGAAAGAAAAAAGACAGAGAAAGAGAGAAAACAAGCCAGCGAAAGAGAAAAAAAAAAACAGCCAGAGAAAGAGAGAAAATGATACAAAAAAAGAGAAAACTGGCGAGAGAGAGAACGAGAGAGGGAGACATAGAACGAGAACGGGAGAGAGAGAGAGAGAGAGAGAATGAAATAAAGCGAGCGCGGGAATGAGAAAAGTGACGAAAGAGCAAAAACAGTGGCAGAAAGAATGGGCCAGAGAACGAGAAAAAACGAGCCAGAGAAAACGAGCTAAAGATAGAGTGATAACCAGTAACAGAAAGCGAAAAAACAAGCGGTAGCAAAAGAGAAAACGAGATAAAGAAATACTGAAAACGAGCGTCCGAGAGAGAATGAAAGAGGGAGAATGAAAACTAACGACATTGATGGAGAAAGTGGAAAAAAATTAAAGCGCGAGGGGGAGACAACGAGGAGAAAGAGAGAAAACGGGTGAAAGAAAGAGTGAAAACCAGTGAGGGGAAGTGAGAACGGGCCAGAGAAAGAGAAAAAAAGAGCCAGAAAAAGGGAGAAAACGAGTCAGAGAAATAGAAGAGCCCGAGAAAGAGAGAAAACAAGCCCGAGAAAAAGAAAAAACGAACCAGAGGAATAGAAAACGAGGCAGAGGAGGGGAGAAAACGGGCCAGAGAAAGAGAGAAAACAAGAGCCAGAGAAATAGAGAAAAAGAGCAAGAAAAAGGGAGAAAACGAGAGAAAACAAGCCCGCGAAAGAAAGAAAATGATTCAGAGAAAGAGATAACTGGCGAGAGAGAGAAAACGAGAGAGAGAGAGAATGCGATAAAGAGAGCGTGGGAATGAGAAAAAAATGACGAAAGACCAAAAACAGTGGGAGAAAGAGAGATAGGCAAGAGAACGGGAGAAAACGAGCCAGAGAAGGAGAGAAAACGAGGCAAAGCTAGAGTGAAAATCAGTAACAGAAAGACGAAGAAGAAGTGGGAGGAAAAGAGAAAATGAAATAGAGAAATATTGAAAACGAGCGTGTGAGAGAAAGAGAGAGAATGAAAACTAACGACATTGAAGGGGAAAGTGGAAAAAAACGAGGAGAAAGACAGGAAACGGGCGAAAGAAAGAGTGAAAACCAGTGGGCGTGTGGAAGAGAAACGAGGCAGAGAAGGGGAGAAAACGAGGCAGAGAAGAAGAGAAAACAAGCCAAAGAAAAAAAAGAGCCAGAGAGATAAAGAGAAAGAGTGAAAATAAGCGAGTGAGTGAATGAGAACGAGGAATGAGTAAAAACCAGTGGGAGAAACACAGAACGGGCCAGAGAAAGAAAGAGGGACAATGAGAACTAAAGGCATTCATGGGGAAAGTGAAGTAAAGCGCGAGGGAGACAAAACGAGGAGAAAGGGAGAAGACGGGCGAAAGAAAGTGAAAACCATGAGGGGGAAAAGAGAAAAGGAATCATAGAAACAAGTAGCAAGCGAACAAGGGAGAAAGAGCGGAAGGAAAAATGAAAGAGAGCGCATGAGGGATGAGAACGAACAAGAGAAAAAGAGAGAACGAGAAGGGAAAGTAAAGATATTGCTGTCGAAAAAGAAAGAATAGAGGCAAAATGGGGAGAGGGTAGCCAGAACTAGAGAGTGGGGGTGAGAGCGAGAGAGAAGGAATGAGTGAAAACGAACGAGACCGAGAGAGAGGAAGACAGAAAACGAGCAAGAGACAGAATATGTGCGAACGGGAGAAAGAGTTAAAAGGTAGAAAAAAAGAAAACGAGCCACAGAAAGAGAGTGAAAACCAGTAGCAGCAAAGAAAAACGACTCGGAGAGGGAGAGCAAATGAAATAAGGGGGGAGAATGAGAACTAGAGATATTGATGGGGGAAGTGGAAGAATAGTGACAAAAGGGGAGAGGAATGAAGAGCGAGAGGTAAAAAAATGGGCCAGAGAAAAGGAGAAACCCAGCGAGAGAAAAAGAGAAAACGAGGGAAAGAATGAACAAAAACGGGTGATGGAATGAGATACAGCGAGTGAGAGAAAGAGCGAAAACTAGTGTTAGAAAGGAAATGAGGCAGAGAAAGGGAAAAATCGAACCAGAGAAATAGAAAACGAGTGAGACGGACAGACACTCAAAGGGAAATAGAGCACGTGAAAAAGGGATCAAGAGATAATGAGAGAAAGAAGGAGAACGAGGAGGAAAAGTAGAGATATTGCTAACAAAAGGGGAAGAATAAGGGCAAAAGGAGAAAGTTGAAGGGAGAAGAGAGAAGGAAACAAAAAAACAAGCAGGAAATCGAGAGAAAGGGAGAACACGAGCGATAATGCGGGAAGGAGAAAGAGAAAAGGTGCGAGAAGTAGAGACGAGCCAGAAGAAGAGAGAAAACAAACGACAGGAAGAGCGAAAACGAGCAAGAGAGTGAAAACTAGAGAAAAATAGAGAGAACGAGCAAGAGAAAATGAGAAGAAACAAGAGCGAGAAAGAGAGGAAACGAGAGAAAAACGGAAACTGAGAAAATATTGATACTATAACGTTTATTCCAGACTTCATAGATATTGATAGCGAAAGAAGAAGAATACAGATAAAAGGAGATTACGAGATTAGAGAAAAAGAGAACACGGACGTGAAGCAAAACGACATGGAGAAAAAGGAACAAGAAAAGAAAAGAGCGGAAAAGTACGAAAGAAAAGAGAGTAAAAATAGAAAAATTGATAACATAATGACAAAATAACAAAGTACATCACGTGACAGAAAAAATGAATCTATAGCACTTTTACCTAAACTTGTGTAAATTACTTAAAGTGTCGTCAAATTCACTTTAAGGATGTTACTGCCTGGGAAGTAAAAAAAGTGTAACTGTGCAGGGCCGCCAATTGCAATCAATTTTACAACAATCAAGGCCTACTCATACTACGTATATTTTCGGTCGCACGTTATATTTTAAATAAGTCGCTTAATCTTCATCAAAGTTAAAAAAAAAAAATGTCAACGCTATCTACAATAACATTTCGCCTCTCTTTTTCGCGAATTTTTTAAAATGGAACCTTGTTTTTGTTCCACCGCACAATTCGGGCACATCTAGTTACTTTCCACAAAAAAGACCAAAACCAGTCCGACTCAGCGCCTCACTGACCTAAAACCACCACGTATATTTCCGCTGCAGCAACTCTCTAAACCCACAACGCATTATTTACCCACGATTTGGTTCTTTCGCGCGAATTGGAAGAACGAGTTCCATTTAATTTAATCATTCGTTATTAGCACCTGAAAATGTTTCCATTACGGAACACCGTATCTAAAAATAGGCGCGCTTAAATTGTCTGGAAAAGTGGATACTCAATAGTTCACGAAATTGTGTTACGTGTTTGCTTTTAATAACCGTTTAGCTTAAAAATACACCGAAAACAAAGGCAATACGGCTCGGATCGCCGCACTCGAAAGCGAATCGCTCACATTCGAACTCGTGCGTGCCTGACCTACATCTGTCACCGGCGCCTGTCAGAAGCTCCTAATTCCGCGCCGTGACAATGAACATTCGTTTCGATAACTCCACCTGAATGATTGACTTATCTCCGACTATATTCTTGACGCACCAACTCGGTAAATATTTAGCTGGATTCGCACGCCGCTGCGAGGCGGCGGAGGAGGCTTAAAATATGCTGCAGGGAGACGATGCGCTTTGGGCCGAAATTCGACGGAAGTGGGTTTGAGGTACGCGGAAAGTGGACTAGTAACACGCGTAAAAGTTCATATTCAAATCGGAATTTTACTGGATGGGTGTCGCTTAAATTTAAATCGATTATGAAGAAAGTTGCGCTGCGAGGTTTCGGTTGGGGGTTTTCCGTTTTTTTATTTTTACACGGTTAGGTTGGTAGTAATCATGATACATTTGGTATTATTATGGTTGTGTACACGAAACTGAAAATATCAGACATATTTTAATAGAGAAACGCTCTGGCGGAAATGGAAGACCTACTTTTTCATATTCTACTAGCCTACGCTTCGCAACTAAAAAGCAAGACAATTTACGTTGTAACCCAGCCATGTAAGCACATGTTCTTAAAAACAGATGTGCATTAGGTAACAACAGACTATGCAGGTGTCCCACAACTGACGCCAACTTATATCGGCAAATGAACCGTAATTAGAAACGTAACGGTTTTCAGAAATAAAAGTCAAATCACCAAAGAAACGTCCAATTTTTATTTCAACTGAATTTTAATAGTTAACTGATTAAAAAATAAAATCAATGTTGGCTCATTCCAAACTGTGACAAAAGTGCGATTTAATTAGTCCACAGTTCAATTTTCTATGGCCTCTACTAACTCACATTTAATCGACCGGACGGTATTTAACCGAAAATTAATGTTACAACTTTCGACTTAAATTAAAAAACAATTACACGACAAAATAAAACTCTAGTCCGGTTAGTGTACCCACGTTAGCACCTAATTGACGTCACTTATATCAAAAACAACCAAATCGCACCTAAATTCAACTTTTATGCTTAATTCGAAGTGTTGCTGAACTTTACTTAGGGTCGTGTAAAATTGTATCTATCTCGTATTTGATGCTAAAATTTCGAAGAGTAGGACCTGTTAATTTTCATAACTGTTTGGAAATGAATGTTCCATTTTATCAAATAATTTTGCATTGTCCAAATTCACTCAAAAAATTGGTCGAAGATGACTTAGAGAGAACTTCCCTCGCCCATAATAAATGAGTTTTTCTATTACAAAATTTTCTCGGAAAATGGATTGAGCCGTTCCTGATTTAATCAACAAAACAAATTGACACATTAATTCATTTTTTTGAGCCACCAAAATCTAAAAAATATGAATGCAATGATAAATCACAAGTACAAACTCACCATATTTGTACATTTCGGGTAGATTTAGGAATTTAACTCGTTACAATGGATACATCTTTAAATTTCGCAAGTGTTTACAAGACTATTAGGGGCAAACTCAGTTTTCTCTTAACAAGTACCAGGCCCGCCCACCCACCCACTATTTCCCAGAAGGTTTGTCATTTGATGAAATAAGTCTTGTTAGCAAGTACTAACCTCGCCCACCCACCCTTTACTTTCTTAGAGAGTAGGTGATTTGCAAAAATCAGTCTTATTTTACCAAGTTCTGGCCCCACCCACCCACCCCTATTTTCTCAGGGAATATGGAGTTTGCCAAAATCAGTCTTATCTGATCA